AGTACCTAGATTTTAAGACTACAGTAAGATTTAACTTCTACTGTTAATAAGATTTTAGTAGGCTACTATTAGATGGATAGCCTAAACGTCCTAATTCAGATGGGCTACCCGGTTTAAAAAATTTTTTTTATGGTATATCAAAAAGTGTATATTTTTTAAATATACCAGTTTTTACCATTCTTTCATAACAAAAATTAAAATAGGACAAATATGCAATATGAAAAAAATTGAAGATAAAATGTGTTTTACTGAGAAAAAAAACAAGATTTGTTTTTTAAAAAGCCCTTTTCCAAAAGGTACATCTGGAAAAAGGGGGGTTGTCTTATATTCGGGTCAATACGGTGCTATATAGTATACCATTATACTAATATATACCATTACTTGAATACATTTCTTGATAAGCATGTTTTAACTAATGAATTAAGCAAAAAAAAAGAAATGTCAGGGTGATACATATGGATGCTTGTTTCCACCATGGAATAAAAAAGGTAAATACAACTTTTTATCTCACAATTCTGACTTCTTTTCTTACAATTCTGAGAAAAAAAGTCTGAATCGCAAGATATAAACTTGCAATACAGAATTACGTGATGTAAACTAGCAATTCTGAGAAAATAAAGTCTGAATTGTTAGATAAAAAGTCTCAATTACCTTTTTTAATTAATTAATTTATGTATTTAAATTTAGCAACATGAACAGGCTTCCTGATATCACAATGAAAAACATAATTGAAATAATGACATTATTGAAAAGGAAAAAAAACTAGTTTGGCGAAATCTTTTATTATTATCTTTTAGACAAAAAGTAAGCAGTGAAGCAGTTTTATTGAAATTTATATTTTTCAGATTTCATAATATATGAATATAATTTTAATATATTAAACATATATATATATATATTCATGAATGCAGTACAATGTTTTATACAGCATATGCATTCTTACAGGTTTATAACCTGCACTGTGTTACCAATTATATTGAATATGTTTGCTCATATTCTCTGTATATGGACTTGTAGTTCACCCTTGTTTGACCTGTCTATGTAATCTTACAGCTCCTGCCTGAGGCGCATATACAAGCAGCAGCAGTGTGTAGTGTCTTTAGACCATTTTAACTGCACTAGAATGTCTGTGTGTAGAATGACCTACATACTACAACCTACAGGTTTATACATTACCCATTCATTCAGTATAGGGCTGCTTATTGACTTAAGATTTTAAGGGTTTTGCTTTAAGGCAGGTCAGTTTGTGTGTGCCGTACATTATTTATTTTGTAGATCGCTTCTCTTTGACTTTGTAAAGACCCTGTGACGAGTGATAGACTGTGAGTATGCAAGGAGCAGCGAAGAACAAACAGCCCCGGATTGACATTCCTCCATACGCAACCTCTTTCTGGGCTTCCTCTGGGCAAAGCTACTGTGTATTGGAGTGTCAGTTGGGTATGTGGAGCCAGTGTCTGTTCTTAGGAGTCTCTGTACGTTGACGTTGCTGTGATGGTGCTGCTGTTTTGGAGACCAGATTGACATGCATTTATACAACTCCAGATTCCACTTACTCCTCATCCTCAAAGTACAGAGACTGTCTCCCAGTTAAAACAACAAATCATGGGTTTGACGCCGCTGTGGTTCAAAGTCACTTGGAAGGTGACCTTGTAGGCTATTGCTTAATAGTTTTGGTCGTCCTGACTGTGGACACTCTTTAAGGATCGTTTATAAACATATATTTAGTAATATGCTAACCATAAGTCACCATATACTCAAGTAAAACCCGCTAGGGACATGAGATCAACATCCATAAAAGCACAGGAGATGGTGGGTCTTAACTGGGACAGATTGAGATAACCCAAGACAGAACTAGTAAGTGTAAATGTAGTAACTCTAATGTCAGATAATATCAAGTGTCAGTGCTTAAAGGGTTAGTTCACCCAAAAAATTAAAATTCTGTCATTAATTTCTCACCCTCATGTCGTTCCAAACCCCAGAAGACCTCATTCATCTTCGGAACACAAATTAAGATATTTTTGATGGAATCTGAGAGCGCAAGGGTCCTTATACAATCAACGTCCAGAAACGAAGCAAGGAGATCAGTAAAATAATCGGGTTTGGAATGACATGAGGGTAATTAACGACAGAATTTTCATTTTTGGGTGAACTATCCATTTAACTAATGTTTAAATTTACTCAGACTGTCCCGTTCTCTCTCCTCACAGAAGTGCAGTCTTTAATGATCAAAGAAAGGCCTCCACCTAGTGGAGTGAAAGGACGGTGACAATGAGAGTGCTTGTTTCGTCCTTGAAACGAGGAAGTGTATTTTATATTTGTATGTATTATAGAGTATTTTTGAACAAAACCATGTGTTGTTATTTCTAAAGCTATAATAGTGCAACATATAATATCTGTACTTACGTTTTTACTTAGTGTCCTCCGATATTTATCCTGTCAGAAAGTGTTTGTGCAACGGAATATGTTTGCGCGTCTTTTTGGCGCCAATTAATTTTCATTCTGTTTATTTATTTTGCGTAGCAGATTGCTTTTTCAACGAAATTAATTTCAGGGAAAAAAAATAGTTGCACCACTAATTATAGCAGACAGCTGTTATATTCGGTTTAAAAACAGATAGAAACAGATCGAGTAACGACTTGTGAATCAAATGTATTTAAACAATTTTACTTATCATGTACTCATAGCTAAATCAATGTTTTTTAACCTTGACTATTCTAACGACAAATCATGGTATTTCACACCTTATTAGTCGTATCTGTTTTTATTTTATGATTTCATTTTTTAGTGAAATCCAGTTCAAGAAAATATTCTGTTTCAATAAATAATTATTTTAGCAGACATTTAAAAAGACAGTTAAACAAATGTATTCAACAGTAAAACAAATGTATTCAAGGACTACATATTTTATTTATGATGTAATCACAGCTGAAGGGTTGCTAGCAATGCTTAGCCTTGACTATGTTAACAATAAAACATAGCCTTTTGTGTTAATACTAACAAACAGAAATTTAATAAAATTACAAAAATTATAGAGTATAACAAAACACATTTCTTTTGACCATTTATTCAGACATTCCCTACTAAAACATTATGTACCAAACAGCACAGGTTAGACATGTCATCCTCAGTCTGAGAACTGGCAGAGTTTCTGAAAGCTTCGCTTTTAATCCATGATTTTAAAGGATCAAAATTAGTTTAATGCTGATGTGCCTCAGCAATGAATCTGTAGGAGCAGATTGGAGATGGTGTGGAGTGATTGGAGATGTCCTCTAATGGGTGAATGCGCTTCTTTCTTGTACTCCTTTCATACTTCTTGTTTTTGGCCTTAAAGTAGAATAGAAATACAAGATTGTTTACCTGGATAAAAACAATTCATTTATACTGGACATTTTCAAG